AGTCTCAATCTTGTTTGCTTCATAAAGACATTTTTCTCAACAGTCTGAGGTCCAGCAGGTCTTTCTTAGTTAGGCAACATGTTGCAATTCAGACTACATATGAATCAAAACCATTAGAGCAACACTTTTCCATGAAAAGATTGAACATTATTTATATATTCATTATGATGCCAGTCAAGTGCCAAAATAACAGTAATTATGTTTTTTAAATAATAGATCATTTCATAGTTATTAATGTGTCATAGTTAATGAATTATAAAAGAAATCCATAAATAAAAACGATAAGTTGATAACTTAAATGAAAATACCCTTTATAAAAGTATTTATGTCGTACTACTCCACATTGTGAGTCAGTACTTTATGTGAGTCCTGAGAGAAAGTCGATGGTCTGCAGTTAAAATAGACAATTATTCTGATATTTAGGATTATTTGAAAATGCAAAGAGGCATTAAAAGGTTAACATGACATTTTGCAGAAAATGGATATGAATAATACTTATTTTATTACTTATATCATCCATATACTTATAATCCAGTAGGATATTCAGACTCTCCCCAGCAACACTCCGGCTCATTAGCCAGGAGATCACAGAGCAGAAGAGATTGGCTAAAGTCCTGCAAGGAGTCCTGGGTCTGTAGCCACGTTTAACGCCACAGATATCTACCGACTTATATGATGTATCATTTATTTCAACCTCATAATAACTTCTAAAAGCTTCTATTCAAAGAGGTCTCTATGGGGTGAAGATCATTCAAATTTAGTTGCAGGCAAAGAACATGTTTTGTAAAAAAAAAATATTATTTTTTTTACCCTTTTTAAATTTGTTAAATGTTATCTTTTTCACATTTTATTTTGAGATTTTACATTTAAAAAAAATGTTGACTCTTTTTTCCAATTCACCAATGCAATTTTCTTAAAACTTTTTCAATTTCCATTTACAAAAATTTGTTGCAACAATAATGGAATAAAGTTATCTCCATCTATCCCTAACATATACGGCAGAGGATTAGGGCCACTGAAGAAAAAGAAAAGCTTAACTGACTTTTAAATTTTATTTCAGCATAATATGAGAAAAAGTCACAAAAGCCGTAGCCATGTCTGTTTTAGAGACTAAACTAGCTCTCTTGTTTAATCACCTTCTGCTCTTCCATTAATGAAACAGCATCACCAGGGACCCCTCAGGGACAGGAAAAATTGCCTAATTCCATCCTTTTCCACCAATGTGTTCCTGTTCCTCCCAAACAACTCACATCTTTGTCAGTGAAGCTGAGCGCTCCACATCTCTACCTTTATGGTACCCATCTACATTAAGATCTACACTTCTGAGAATTAATTCAGAATTCTAAGAAAAAAGTCAGAATTATGAGAAAAAAGTCAGAATTCTAAGAAAAATGTTCGGATTGTGAGAAAAAGTCAGAATTGTGATATTAAAGTCAGAATTGTGAGGAAAATGGTCATAATCCTGATCTTTTTTCACATTTTAAACTGAAATATTGTTATAATTAATTATAATTATTGTTATATTGTTATAATTATATTATAATTTGAAAATCAGTTAACTTTTTTCCCGGTGGTTCTTATCCTCTTCCATAGACATATTTCCATTTCATTTCAAAGTGTTTTATTTATAAACACGTATCTATTATTATTTTTAGGTGATATAAATGTGTCACCCCTGGCCCTCCATACCCAGCAGGACAGACGCTGACTTTCAGGGCCAGTTTAAAGCCACTAACCTCCATCTGCGTAGGTTTCCGTCCCGTATCCATCCTGTAGTCCGTTATTCCAGGTTCCTTCGTACCTCGCGCCGCTGCCCACGCTGACCCGGACCCCGTACCTCCCTTTGAAGCCATGGGTCCATTCTCCTCTGTAGATCCAGTGTCCTTTGGTTTCCACCCCTAGCCCGTGGCGCTTGCCCTGTGACCAGTAGCCCTCATAGGTGTTCCCGCTGGGCCAGGTGTAGACCCCGACCACCTCGAAGCCGTAGTTCCAGGAGCCCGAATACTCCCCCTGGCCCTTGGGTCCGGTGCAGATTCCGTGGCCGTGGGCTTTGCCCCCCTCCCAGCCCCCACAGTAAGCCCCACCGTCGTCAAACTCGAAGCGACCACCGCTCATTCCGAAGACGCACAAATCCCAAAAACTAAGGAAGGGAGGTTTCTAAAGTTTCCTTTTACCTGTCCGGAGATAATGACGTCACTTTCACCTGACATTCAGGTGTGAGATGAACTTCAGAGGGTTTGTTCTGTGGTGATCTCCATGGAGCTGATGAGCTGTCTGTTTAATCCAGGGATGGATCATCCATGAAGCTCATTCTTTGTTGGGATTTATGGAGGAATTAGGATTTTTGTGTCTGGATTAGCCAGAGATCTTACATGGCTTTCTCAGGTGGCTTCCCCCCTGTCCCTGCCACCCAGCTACCTCCTGACAGCCGCTGCACTTCAGCAAACCTAACAAGGCGACCAATCCACAAACACACACCGCCTTCCAAAAATACAACCCAATCCTTGACTTCGCTGCTGGGAAGGAGTCCTGCCAGAGTCTGAAGTAGCTGCATGCCTTCCTGCTCCCTGCTGTCCAACTGCACACATTTTATCCCTGGACACGCGGCTAAAATAGATACATAAATAAAAAAGATGCGCGCAAAGATCCTCTTTTCAGCTGGAAAAGGTGCGCAAATCAAACCACGCATTCCTTAATCCTCTTAAAATCATTTTAGATAAAAGATTTATGAAAATAATCTTAGAAGTTTGGTTTATTCTCCTTTAAAGTAAATATTATAGAGGATTTAAAATGCATTGAATAGATTTTGATCTTTAAATTGCGATGCAATTACTTTAGTATGACAAAAACATAAAATATAATATGAAACCTGCAAAAGTGAAAAAGGAAGTATTAATTTCGCCCCCTGCTGGACACTTTAAAAAATACAATAAAATACCAATACATACTCTGATTTTATTAATTCATTCATTCCAAAACTTGTACCAGAGTAGAAGAGTTTAATAATATTTTTACTCAAATGAAACTAAAAATGTGTTTGATAGAAATTCTCCTCTATTACCGAGTAACTGATCTACTTTCTAACCGATTTAATATTTAACACATGATGTAAACAACACGTAAATTCTAGTTTTATTATACAATGAGATAGAAAATAAATATAACATGCAGTTATTACACAATAAGGATTTTAGGTGGGAAAAAACTAATTAAGAGACACATTTGGAGTTAGAAAACGTCCTAAATCCATTGTTGCAGCATGTTTTATGTATATAAATTGGTGGTATTAAACCAATACACTTTAAATTAACTGTATTGCTCTCTGGTGCATACTATGGGGTAAATTGTGTTCCATTATTTTGCAAACAAACAGCAAGTTTTGTAAGTGGAAATTTAACCAGAAATAAAACGTCTATAAATGTTATAATTCAAAAAAGGTTTTAACAGTATCTTTGTTGTTTACTTACTTTTTTCCAACATCTAATTTAATGATGAAGTTATTTTTTTCAAGAGTTTTTTTTTACAGATTTTAAATTTTTAACATTTTCTTTCTCAATTTTTTCGTTTTCACACACAGTTTTATGAATTGCATTATTTTCTGTGTTCTATAAAGTAAATATTCACAAAATAAAAATCTATGATAATATTTTGATTGTTCCATGTCTGATTTATTGCACAAAACAGTACTATTATTAATTCAATTTCAATTCAGTTTATTTCTATAGCACCAATTCACATCATGTCATCTCAGGTCACTTTCCAGTTCACCAGATCATCCAGTCAGATTGATTCAAAGTTTTTATCTAAAGAAAACCAGTTGATTTCATCGACTCATTGACTCAAAGGCAATCCCTCACACTAAGCATGCTTGTAGCGACAGTGGAGTGGAAGAACTCCCTTTGAACAGGAAGAAACCTCCAGCAGAACCAGGCTCAGTGTGAGCGGCCATCTGCTGCAGGCAGACGAGCTCCGAGCCAGCTCCCATGTCAGAGGATGAAGAGAGCACATCCAGTTAGTCACAGTCAGAGAAACAGGACTACACTGGAAAACAGGCCAAGCTCCAGCATCTATAAACAAAGGTGTTGATGGCAGCAGCACAGCTGATATTTCTCTCCAGGATGGAGTCACAGCCAAACAGGAACAGACCAGATGAAGCTACTATGAGAAAAAGCAGAGAGAGCAGAACGTTAGAGATTGAACTAACAGATTCTGCAGAGTGGGAGAATAGAGATAGAATGAAGCAGAATGATGAAAAAGGGGTCCCTATGTCCTCCAGCAGTCTAAGCCTATAGCAGCAGAACTATAGAGATAGCTCAGGATAACCTGAGCCACTCTAACTAGAAGCTTTATCAAAAAGTAAAGTTTTTTATTATAGTGATTTATCCTGGTTGTTGAAAGTTGTAGGGAAGCGCCTGTTCCAACCGTTGCAATTCCAAACTCTCTCAAGTGATGCCCGACTTTACACGAGTGGATAAAGTGAATATTATCGGGCGATTATCAAGGACAGAGACGTCCATCCCCGTGAACACTGGGACGGAACTCAATAGTAAAGGAAAATATTCTTATTTCAACCGTTGCGTATATTAGCTGCGACAAATGAATCAAGATGCTATGACCGAAAAAATTTGGTTGTCAGATGACCGTTGATATATGATTGGACGAATTTAGGTGTTCAGGATAACGAAAAAAGCAACACAGATTTTAAGACAGAATTAACTTTTGGAACAATTATTGTCCGATAAAGATTACATCTATATGACTAAGCAGAATTATTTGATATTTAAATATGATTTCCGTACGACTTTAAATATGGTCAGATAAATATATATATATTTTTGTTGTTTTCTTTATGTCCTTACAGGAGCCGCTTGACCTTCCACTAGCCTAACTGCTCTTCTCGCGGGTCTCCATTGCGCATGCCTGGTCTCGTGACGTAGCCTCTGATTTATCCGCGTGCAGCAGCAGCAGCAGCATGCTATGGTAACATTACAGCCTTTGGGTTCGGTTTGTTAGCGGGAGGTTTGGCCGATTTCAGCACCGGAGCTGTCCAACGCTGACTGATGCTGCCGCCGCGCGCCACAGAGGTGATGCTGCGCGCGAGCTGCTGACACCCCCCCTCCTCCCCCCGCCCTTCCACCCGCCCCTCTCTCTCTCCGTCTCTCTGTCCTCCCTCTCCCTGCATCCTTCCCCTCCTCGCCTCTCTCCTCTCATCCACACGCACTAAACGCTCTGTCATGGCGTCTTCCAACCATGTTACCCCCACCAACTGTAGCTGGTGGCCCATCTCAGCCATGGAGGAGGACGGCAAAGTGGCGGACGGTGAGGAGTGCGAGGAGCCCACGGCGGAGTCCAAACCCTTTAACAAAGACAGGCTGGTTCTGTATCACTGGACGCAGTCCTTCGCCTCACAGAAGGTAAGGCAGGAGCAGAAAATGGAGAGAGTGCATGCTGTTCCAGGGTCTGTTTGCTCTCACCGACCAAAGGCACGTTTGCATCTGGGCTTGTTTACCTCCTCTGTGTGAGAGAATGACAATGAAGCTGCAGCAGGACACTTCATCTCCAGCGTGTGTGTGTGTCTGCCATGCATAATAACAGCAGAGGAGGTTTCTCTGTTTCTATTTGATGCACAGAGCTGCAGGCCCGTTTCTCCCTCTGAAACACACCATATGGGGCTGTTTTTATTCCAGCCCACCTTTCATCACCATTGATAATAAATTATTTGTGAACTTCCTTGAATGAACCAGTGTCATCAGGAAAAATAGCCTTGAAGCTACTGCGCTTACTCTTCACCAAACTGACACATAAAGCATTTATCCCCCCCAACCTGCACTGTGTAAATACCCCCGCATTACTGTCAGGGGAGGTAAACCTGAGACCATAGGACCTCCGCTGCAATCTTCTCAGGGTTGTACAAACTGAACTGGTTTGAGTATGGAAGCCCATTTCCCCCAACTCAAAAATAAATAAATTATCTAATTATGATGAGATAGTATCTCAAAATAATGGGATAGTATCTCATTATAATGAGATACTATACCATATACCATACCATACTCAAACCAGTTTGTCTCATTATAATGAGATACTATCTTATGACATACTATCTCAAAATAATGGTTTGGTATCTCATTATAGTGAGATAGTATCTCAAAAAAATGAGATAGAATCTCATGAGATTGTATGTCAAAATAATGGAATACTATCTCATTATAAGATCGCTCTATGAGATACTACCTCATAATGAGATAGTATCTCATTATTTTGAGATACTATGTCATTATAATGAGATACTATCCCATTATTTTGAGATAGTATCTCATGAGAAAGTATCTCGTTATTTTGATTTACTATCTCGTTATTTTGAGATAATATCTAAAATTGTTCTTGTTAGAAACTCATAATAATGAGATAGTATCTCATTATTTTGAGATAGTATCTCATTATTTTGAGATACTATGTCATTATAATGAGATACTATCCCGTTATTTTGAGATAGTATCTCATGAGAAAGTATCTCGTTATTTTGATTTACTATCTCGTTATTTTGAGATAATGTCTAAAATTGTTCTTGTTAGAAACTCATAATAATGAGATAGTATCTCATTATTTTGAGATAGTATCTCATTATTTTGAGATACTATGTCATTATAATGAGATACTATCCCGTTATTTTGAGATAGTATCTCATGAGAAAGTATCTCGTTATTTTGATTTACTATCTCGTTATTTTGAGATAATGTCTAAAATTGTTAATGTTAGAAACTCATAATAACGAGATAGTATCTCATTATTTTGAGATACTATCTCATTATAATGAGATACTAACCCAATTATTTTGGGATAGTATCTCATGAGAAAGTATCTCGTTATTTTGATTTACTATCTCGTTATTTTGAGATAATATCTAAAATTGTTCTTGTTAGAAACTCATAATAACGAGATAGTATCTCATTATTTTGAGATACTATCTCATTATAATGAGATACTATCCCATTATTTTGAGATAGTATCTCATGAGAAAGTACCTCGTTATTTTGATATACTTTCTCGTTATTTTGAGACAATATATAATTTTTTTTAGATAGAAACTCAAAATAATGAGATTGTACCTCATTATAATGAAATGAGATGCGGAATGCAGTAAGAGTCCAGGAGGAATGAAACTGATGAAGTTTTAGCTACAATGGTGGTGGAGGGGCTGGAGGTGGGTTGAAACGGGGTCATCTGAAGGAAGTCAGATGGTGCCTGCTCACTAGGTAGCAGACGAGTTGCGGACTAAGCATGCTTGTAGCGACAGTGGAGAGGAAAAACTCCCTTTTAACAGGAAGAACTCTGCCAGGCTCAGTGTGAGCAGCCATCTGCTGAGGCCGAGTGGGGTTCATATTAATTTCACTTGAACGTCCCAGAGACACCACCCGTGTTTTCGAGGAGAACGGGTCACTATCATCATCAAATGCATACAAAAAATAAAACAAGACAGATTCATTTTTGACTTTGTTATTACAGGAACAAGGTCCAGTTGAAGAATCCCAGCTTTATATTTTATGGTTGCAAATGCTTTAAAAAAGCTTCGAACTCTTACAGAGAGACTTTAAAGGAAATAATGTTAATAATACAAACAAGAAGTCAAATACAGAATCACATAAGTCAAAGCTGAGAAAAAATAAATGATGACGTACAGAGATATAATACATTTGCTTTGAAAAGTTAAGAGGTGCATCTACCAGTGAAGTGTGGAAAATTAGGATGTAAATAGATAGTCCAGCATTTAAAATGTCGCCTGATCAAGTTTTTTATTTGACTGATGAATTCATTAATCTTTATGACTATAGTAGAAGCTCAGCTTTCCCAATGAGGCTTTGTCAGAGAGGGAGACGTTTGTAAAGGACCCAGATGCAGAGACTGAGGCAGAGGTTGTTTCTTGCAGATTTAATCATTAGAGTGGCAGCAACAGAAGCATAAATCCAGAAACAACCAACCTGGGGGCACTGGAACCAGAACAAAGGGGAACAGAGAGCTTCAGGAGGGAATGAAGTTAAGCCAGCATAGAGCAACTGCAGGGGAGGTGTTTATATATATAATAATAATAAATTATTGAACTTTATTGATCTCACATTGGGGAATTTTACCTCTGCATTTAACCCATCCTCTTGGGGAGCTGTGGGCTGCCATTGTGGGGTGCAATCGGGGGTTAAGGGTCTTGCTCAAAGACCCAGAGTGGCAGTCTGTGGGAGTGGGATTCAAACTCACAATGTCAGGATTCTGAGCCCTGTGGCCTAACCACTAGGCCATCGCCCCCACATACAGCCCCATTTAGATTACTCTTTTGAAACCGTACTAAGATCGGTCCGAGGACGGTAACCGAGATAACTGTTGGGTATAAATGGAACGCAACTGAACTGGACCTTGCCAGACAACTAATCCGCGATAAATCTAGTATTACCCGGTAGTTTCACAGCAGGTCTCGGTCTTCATCTGTGGCTCAGTTCTCTGATAACAAAAAGAGCATGGGCAGACCGTGTCGTCTATTTACAGTTAGCTGACTAATTTTTCTGGTTTTCCAGCGAGTCCGGTTTTGCAATTCACAGATCTCTTCAGCTGTTTACAACACAAACTTCTTCTTGACCTATTAACAATAAATGGCATCAAAAGAGCGTGGTGCAACCTGGGATGATGTCGAGACCAAGGCTCTCTTTGAAATTTGGGCAGAGGAATCTGTCCTCGCAATAAGTTCCTGAATGTTATAGGAGCCGGCATTTTTGTTTCCATAATTCCCGCCTTGAAAGGTGTAGTACCGTGGACCGCCGATAGGAGACGAGGAACCGTGCTAGCGTGATCTGTAAATGGTCGTAAGAACCAAGCTCAGGACTGATCCAAGCTCTGTCCCAACGCCGCACGGATCGGTTTCAGAGGGCTAGTGGAAATGAGACATATATGCCAAACAAAACAATGAACGGAGTGATCAACTAATTGGGAGCCGGTGTGGACAGAAGTATCTAGAAGGGCACTATGGAAAAGGACAGTGCTTAGATATAACTAGAAGACAACTTTAATGACACTACATGAAAAAATGAAGTTGACATGAATCAAAGTTTACCTTAAAACTTGAACAGAACTAAAACTCCCACTCAACAGATCGTGACGGGTTTCTTTCCTGTTCAGAAGTATCAACAATAACTCATATATGGAAGCAATTTCTAGCAAAAAAGACTTTAATGCACTTTTAATTACCCGCTCAAAAAAGTAGGCTTATCATCTGCATACAGGGAACTTTAGATATAGACATATTCTTTATTCTAATATAGTTAATAAAAGTGGATTAGAAGATTGTACCTTGGGGGACTCCTTTTAGAAAACTGGACTTTAATGTTTGTGTAAAAAATGCAAACAAAATCCAAACTATATGTGTGTGTTGCTGCTTAATCCAACACCTACAATACCTCTTAACAATGGCTCCTGATCAACTTTGGTCAAGTCGCACAGCCAAAGAGCCAAAGAGTGTTTTCACCGCTCTTGATTCCAGGGATTAAGTGTCCCAGCAAGTGCTGCTGAAGCCGGTTAATCCAAATGTCAGAAGAGCAATACTTTAAGCGTGGAAGACATGAGGTTGGTGTTTACTGTAAACACAATCAAAACAAAGAAGTCGATTCCTAGACTTAAGGCTGATTTATGCTCAGAAACCAGGTCGTGTGTGCGTGTGTATCTCAGTGAACGCAAATGTGGCCCCGCCCCTTCCGCAGACACTCTGCTGCACCTATCCAAAATTGTACGTGACCACAGACAGGAGGCCTCTGATTGGTCAATTCTCCACTGCTCTACTTTATGCGTATTTCCTGTTTGGTTCCTTACCAGCTTGTTTTGTTTGTATTAGGGATGCACTATATAATCGGCCCCCTATCGGTATCGGCCTTAAAACTGAATATCGGACATCGGCCACCCCACCGATATTTAACCCGATATTTGATCAGCTTCTGAGTTTCTAAAGTCTAAAAAAAAAAAACAAATACTACTTCTTCTTCTTCCTCAAAAACTTCTTTTTTTACAGACTTAAAAACTTCTAAAGACGAGGGAAAAAATATTGATACATTAAAATATCCCAATATCTTCATATGCTGATATATTGCCATTTAAAAACACCATATCAATCTCTTTTACTAATGAAATATTGCTATATGTCATCGTTATGCTACGAAATCCCCCGAAAATTCACGAAATGTTGCCATATTTTTATATGTTGATACATTGACGCGGTATCGATCTATTTTACTAACAAAATCTCACAAGAATTTGCAAAATATCACGAGAGTTTGTAACAGAACGATGAAATTTCACGAGATTTTGAAAGTAAAATAGATCGATACCGCGTTTTTAAAAATCAATTTGATATCAGCATATGAAAATATATTTGAGTATA